TGCAGGTCTGACAGTCGCTGATTACTTTAATGAGGACTGGAAAAAAGAAAAACTCAAAAAAAAAAGGGGGGGGGAAAATGAGTGGCGCTCTCTGGAGAGCAGCAAGCCACTTCAGACAGACAAACATGTGCTCTGTCCGTAACTGCGAGATGAAGAATGACATTCTGCTAGCTCTCTTAAATTAACCATGATAAATCTGTAAAAAGGGCTCCTGGCAGGGGAGCCTCAGAGAGGTTGCCTCTAATTTGCCCACTCCGCAATCTTCCGACGATTAGTAATGCCTCTTGTGCTTGTTTAGCTCCCCGCCTGGTGCATTACAGAAATGGCCAGTGATTTCAGAAGTAGCAAATGCATTAAAGGCAAAAAAGGAGACTCCTCCATCATTACCTGCAGAAGAAAGAAAAAAAGGCAGCGAGCTGCGCTGCCTTAAAGATAGCAGCTTGTGGCCCCTTAAAAAGAACTCGAGCTGTTCCCCTACTCAATCAAACCCCAGCCACTAGATTAATTAACCCCCTGAATGAAATCTGAAAGGAGCCCTTGAGATCTTGAGAGGAGCACTAAAAGGTTTTCTGAATTAATTTATACACTTCTTTTTTTTTCTGATGGTGACAAACTGCAACGCTGAGGGGAAAAAAAAAAACCCAACTAAGTTTGAACCTGATGCACTCAACATGAAATACACTTTTCTTTATAACCAAGCCTTCCAAACTGAAGGCCCATTAGTCTAAATGAAAGAGGTACTTCACTTAGCCTTGCTTATCAAGCTTGTGACTGCACACCTAACACAGTATGCGATGGCCAGGCTAATGAACTATACTGCTCCCCAACACCTTCTCCTTTTCTCTCTGACTGCACCTGCTCCTTTTCCCTCGTATTAAAGATCATTATTTGTTTCTAAATGGACAGGAGGACCTAAGGGTGCTCTGGTTGTTATAGTTACTTTTCTCTCTGCAGTTGAGTTCCCTCTTCAGGAAAACTGCCCTGCTCTTAGTCCCGGCCCCAGCCTCCTTCAGAAGCAGGATGCACAAGTCATGTACTGTAGGAAAAAATAGCACCGACATACCCTGGGACATGATTATTTGGGATGGCTATTTTTTTTTTGTTTAGAAAGCTTTCTAAACGCCAAAAGAGGGGTTTGGGGCGGCTGCATGTCTCTGGCCACAGGTGAGTAAAGTTGTTAGGGTTTGAGTCCTTAAGTTTGTACATTTCTTGTCATTTTCTCATCTCAAACAGCTGCACTACGTTTCTGCAGGGAATATACCTGTATATGCTACTCATATTTGGCCATTTCATTTTACTGGCAATGAAGGTAATGGACTGAGCTATTCTTAATTTTCCCCTTGTTTTTATAAACAGTGTTGGCTCTATTCTCTATACCTACATCTTAACTAGCAGGTACTGTACACTTTCCAAATTGGAAGCACTACACTAATGGAGTTCAGATAGAAGTATCTATTTAGTGCTGATGGACAATGTTAACTACAATTTAGATTTATTTCTAGATTTATGTTTGGTACATGGAATACATAAACACTATAAAAAAAATCCTTATTTTTGCGAGTGTGACTTTTATTTCCCAGTGGGTGATGTAAAAGTTCAACCGTGTTTTATGGACATAGATCAAAGGAATTTCTATCAGCTTTATAAAAACAAAAAAAAAAATAAAATAAATGTTTGGTGCCAGTTTCTCCATTTCCCCCTACTCTTTGCAAATATGTATGTCCGTATTATTATTTATATGTTGTCAGGATTATTATTTGCTGGAATGATGTAAGCACAATACTGACAAAAGGTGAACAAATAGATGGTAGCATTTAAAAAAAAAATGTTTTTAGCAAACATGATTAAATTAATTATACCATAAAGAAAAAAATATTAATTTCCTCAGTTCTCTAAAAATGCTGCATTTGAAATGCTGAAATGTGTTCCATAAGTTATTCTTTTGAAAAAAAAACACCTACTATAGAATGTAATTACAAAATTAACACACAGAAAATGAAATTCTTATGAGTTATTGTAAGGAACAAACTATGTCGGAAGAAGAGAGTTTTTCAGGATAATTAACTATCCTTAAAGATTTCATAAAGAAATTAAATGTTAGTTCAATGGCCTTTACGATTCCCACAGCAGACGTTGTTTAATTGCCTCTCTAAATAATTTTGCCTTTTAATTATTTTTCCAACGCCTAATGTTAAATCAACGCTGCCATTTTCCACAACTTCATTTCACACTTTATAACTTTTGAACACTCAAACTTTAATTGCAAAACTCTAAATATCATTTGAAAATCATTTTGCTGGCCCAGTGCTTTCATATGCAATTCCTCATTCATTAATTAATCAGCAGTTCTTTAACATGTTCTGTACCAAACGAAATGGGAACTATTATAAGGAGTTAATAAATGATTAACACTCATAACAAGCTTTCAGATCGACGTGTGCCCTACGTGCTGCACAAAGAGTCTTTGTGATTACCAGAAATTAGAAATACTAAAGTAATCGCTAACTGATTAATCTGCCACTCACTTTTTAGAAAAAGCTATTCACCATCATTTTGTCTTACTTTCCAATTATGTGAGATGTAGTCCATGCTGTGAGTGGTTATGAACATGGTTTATAATGTTCAAAAGATATTTTTATTCCTACTCCTTATTATTGCTTAAAACATGTTTTCTATCGCCACCCACAGAACAGGAGACACAACCATAGAGCCAATCACCAAAATATCAGAAAACCAAATGGTTCACAATAGTAACAGTAATCATCAGCCACTGTACTGTACATCAGCCACTCCGTAGCAGAGAAGATGGAGAATTTAGAAAATTCTTTAAATGGATTAAAGTGAAATTTGAGCTTGGCCAGATTATGAAAGCAAGGTGGAATTTAGTTAGGTTCCTGGGGTTTAAACCTCCCACTCCCTTATGAACAGTGCCATGGAATCTTTAATGGTCAACTAATTATGACTTAATTATGAATATCTCATCTGAAGGACTGCAAGTGGACACTGTGCTGTAGGTTAGCCCCTGGGATCTACACTGCAGCACTAGTTAGTTTTGAGATTCAGTTTAATTCCCCATCATTTGACAAGACGGTCTGAGGAACCAGAAAGCACAGCATACAAACATTTCCACAAGGCTTTTAGATCTGCAGGCTTGTCTTGAATTTTATATTTCAATTTATTTTGCCCAGGCCACAACACAAAGTGTTTTGGCATTACCAAATCTAAGCCAAGGGTTTGAGGATTTCTCTCTTTTTTGTTGTTGTCTCAATGTTGCATACAGTACTTATGTACTGTACTGTAAGTCACTGAAAACTCAGGAAAGAACTGGTATGCTGGTCAAAGTCATGTCCCTCATCCAATCATCTAAAATGAATCTAGCAGCACTCTGGGGGATCAACAATCATAACATAATCATAATATTTAATTTGTGCCTGTCCCAACATACATCAGCTCTTTAATCAAACATGATAACAGGAGCCTGAATATTGAGACCATGTATTCCTCTACATGGTTGGGGAGAGCAGCTTTAATTGGTGCCTCTTTGTCCACAAGCATCAGCAAATCAGTGGGTTAAAAATATACTGCAGGGATGGTGGAGGAAATACGGTACTTACCCTTCAGTAGCAAGTTAACAAATAATTCTCTGTAAGGAAGCACTAAGAAGTGTTCCATTACAAACCACTTAAGTCATTCTTCACCTCAAGGCCACACTAACAAAAGAGATTATATCTCCATTGGACAGAATGAATCTAACATGCAAGTTGACAAACCTGGGTTTTACTAGTTATTCAATGACAATGAAAATATTCAGGGGAATGTTGCCGAGGGCCTGCTTATGAGTCAGGTAGCCATTTGGTAACGGAAACAGACAAACATGTAATTCATAAGTATGCTGCAGGCCTCCAAATTGAGCCATGAATTATAATTAACAAAGCAGATGTTTATAATGAAACCAGTTATGTAGTTATGTAAAGGAAGAGGTGATTATTATGGGAGATTTCAATTTTCTGCACATACATGGGGAAACAGATCAGCAAATAAAACTGAAATATGGCTAATGACGACTTTCCTACTAAAGAAGGTATAAAAACAAAAATAGGAGCAAGGGCATTGTCATCAGTTAAAAACAGACCTTCGATTAAAAACAATGTACAATTTTGTTTGTATTTGAAAATCAAGGATAAACCAATGAACATGGATAAGTTTCAAAAAAGGTATCCTTTACCCATGGTTTTAAAATGTGAGCACACAACACCCCGTTGAAGAAGGATGTACAGTACCAAAGAACAGCAAACTTGACCGAACTCAAAAGCTTGGAAGTATTAAACACTACTGAGAATGGGAATTTAGAACAGAATTTTAAAAATACAGCCAACAGCGTTCACCCCTTCAGTCGCAATAAGGTACTTTTAATGTTAAAAACTTTGGATTTAAATGTGCCCTTCCACCTTTTATCATTACACAAAAAGCAGCTCCTATTACTTTATTAGGCCTGTCTAAGCTCTTACTGTAACCCTGCTCATTGAGTTTTCTTCATCTCTGCTGCCAACACAACTACTATTGATCAGCCACAAAGTGTATGCTTTACACAAAGGTGCTTGAGTGAATGCGATCATGTTACCGACCAAAACATGTTAACATAATTAAAAATGGTTTCAGCTGACAATCTCCAATCCACACTGCCGACTGCTAAGACAGCCGAACGGTGTTCCCAAAAATGCGATGGCTGTGGAGAAAGTGTGAACTGTTTTCAAAGACGTGTATTTAATTGAAAGGCGTACAATTAAATATACGGCTTTGAAAAATGTCCTTATTTGTCCCGTTATCATCACTGCTAGTACTAGCTCTACTGGCAGAAATATTGGCGCTTGCACCCTGGCGAGCGGAGCCACCCTTTTAAACTGGTCAGAAAACCCCAAATTCTGACCGATCTCTAGCGATAACGAGCGAGATGGGCGGGTTGGCCTCACCCAGTTGGCGACACTTCCTGTGTCCCTCACCTGTCTGGAGGCGGCGGCTGCAGGGGGCGCTGTTTGTTGACTTTGGCGTAGAGCCCCTCTAGGGCCTCCTCGCCGGGGGCTTCCCTGCCGTGGCTCACGGGCGCCGGCGGGGACGGAGGGGAGGGCGTCCTGTTCCCGTACGCGCCCTGGCCGGGGGGCATCTCCCGGAAGTGGTTGATGCGGGCGTAGTTGGGGTCGGCGTCGTCGTCCTCGACGTCGGGCAGCGCCTCGAACCGCTCCCTCGCCTGCTTCTCCCGCAGCTCGTGGTGCTTGGCCTCAATCCTGGAAAGGCGGAGAGATGAGAGGAGCCGGGACGACACCAGACTGCCGCCAGGAACGCGATTTACCAGATCACCGCGAGCTGCAGTGCCAAAGAACCTTTTCAGACGTGCAATACTAACTTATCTTTAGTATTTTAACTTGTAATATTTATGATACGTTATGAATTAGAAACACTATATACATGGCAAACTTGACTGAAATGAAAGAATGGTGTAAAGGAAGCAGACCAAGCACCCGAGACTGTTGCAGAAGCTCAGATGATGTACAAAAAAGAAAATAAAAAAGGCACCCACGAAAAAAGGAAAATACAAACAGGACAACAGATGATATGAACCACTACTACTATTTCGATCAAAGAGCCACACTGTCAGGCTCCGTTTTTTATCGACCCACTAGATGAATGCCTTCCCAAGACTCATGAAACTTCCCGTCTTCACTCCTGCAGATTTAACGGATTCATCTTGCTGTCGCCAACCAAGTTGCCGTCTTGTTTTTCTTCTTGCTTTGCAAAGCAGTTTATTATTTACCATTGTGTGCGAGTCTCTTGGTTTGTACAATGGAGTCAGGTGCTCTGATTTTTTTTTTTTACCTCTAAACCTCTTTGTAAGAGGAAAGCCTCTTTGTGTATACACTAACCTGCAATATATAAAAATTCATTACTTTGTGATGAAAGGCTTTTTCGTACAGAGCACGGATGCGGACTTGGCTTAGAAGGGATAGTGTTATTTTAGCAAAGGTACATTAGCAATGGATATATTCTATTGGTCTTCAGATCAAATCTTGGTTTTCTCACCCCTGGATATATGAAGTAAATTAATAACAACATAGAACAGCAAAGGAAAAAGAATCATTTCTCTCCCGGTACACAGTTTAGCAATATCTAAACCTAAGCAAATCTCTGTCTTTAAATCACATTCTTTAATGTGATGGGTAGACATGTTTGGCAGGACTAGTTCAGTCTGGTTTTTATACAGTACAAGAAGCCATCCACACGCACAGACCAGACCTCTAGACACAACACAAAAATCCTTCTGTGGCTTAAGTCTTTTCCTGCTGATGAATTCACAAAAAAACTCTGATGGCGCACACAACGCGTAACAAAACATTTTGCTTTATTAAATGAAATGCATTATATGCAATTTCCTCTCATTCGGAAGCTTCTGCCATAAATTTAGCTGTTATAAAAAGGCCTTGACAACACTAAGTTTCTGTTCGTTTTTATTTTTCCCAATTAAATAAAAGCATCAGCAAATTTAAACTACAACAGGAGAGTAGGAAGGCACCCCTCCTTCAGTCGAATGCTTTTTTCTTTCTTTTCTTATCAGTGTTGCCCTGCGTGGGGACTTTTATTTGTCCACAGATGAAGTTATTTAGTTTCTGAAAACTTTAAAGCACCCAGGGTTTGGAATAGTCACTTCATGCGCGATTTCTAAAAGAATCCTCACAGTGGGCTCGGCACAATTCAAACAAATCCAAAGCAGGCATCCAGAATGTGAAAAAGAAAGAGCCATAAATTTGCCTTTCTGTTAATTATAAAATAAAGAAAAATCGGAAACCATGAGATAGTTCATATATCATCATTTTTTTTTGATCCAGCGCATTTTACAGTGATGCCCTGCTTCTTAATTGTGGCATCCTTGGGGCTAAAAAACATTAATAGAGTTTAAAGAAGTTTTTAATTCTAACAGTAATTGTGGCCTTTATTGAGGCAGGAAAAGTTCAAAATGAACCTAGCCAGTCAGCGAATAATTCTGGAATTGCTTTAATTCGTGGTCTGAAAGGCAATAAAAACAATAAACGCTTATAATTATTCCTCTAGTACCGGCCTAATTTGCTTCTCCCAGGGCTACACGTTACTCGCACTAGTAACCTCCTCTTCCCTGACAGGGCTGCGCGGTGCAGTGTGAGGTCACCACGGGAAAAAAAAAAAAAAAGATGATTGGAAATTTCAAATTGAAACCAGATGGAGGTCTAAATACAATTAGGTGCCTGATAAGGTCCCTTATTAAAAAAAAAAATCCTTAGATGAGAGACTCCAGCATCCTGTCCATTCATTAACTCTTTAAACCCTTTCAGTCCCTTTCAGTCGGCACATGGACACCAGATGCTCCTGACGGGATGTTGTTGCATTTAAGAACTGCCACCCCTCCTCCTCCACTTTCCACCCCCCCCCAGAAGGAATAGAACAAAAAGACTTCTAGGGCTTTTCAGTAAATATATACAGTACGTACTGTTCTCTTCATATTACACCTGTTCTGTTTGTACAGGAGTACAGACTTCAGGCTTTACCTTTCTCTCTCTTCTTTCATTTTCCCCAGCTCCTCCTCACTCAGCATCTCAGACTTCTGCTTCTGAAGAGCTGTCTTTCCCTTCTCTTCCTTCTTTTTCCCAAACCTGAGGAGAGAAGGGAAAGGATTTTAATGGCCATATCCAAAACGCTTTCATCGATAAAAGCAAAGTATTCAAATGCCAAGTTAATCCAGGGTTTGACAAATATCTGAAATTCAGCTTTTCCTAAAGACAACTGTGTTTTCTTCATCACTATCTACTGTATATATACCGGGACAGAGATAAGAACAATGAAAAAAAAGGGCCTGGTTAATCTAGTCAGTTCTATTCCATTTAACACATTACTGCTCTGCCTTATTTCCTCTGGTGTTGAACACATGTACTAGTGGATCACTGGGCTAACAATTAGCTGTAAAAAGCTCACTCTGTAAATTATGTTATGCACTGTAAACGTTCAATCCCACGTACACCACCCATGTATGTTAGCACAGTATCTTGTATGAAGCAAGGGTTACTCTGCTCCGAGAACATTTAATATTTTTACAAATAACATCAGTATTACATGAAATCAATTGAAATCCTATACAGAACCGTTCGAATAAAAAAAAGAATTACTTTTAAACTTATCACCATTTGGTGCTGGCTAGTAGCAGGGAAGATTGGCCAAATTATGAAAACTCAAAAACTTTGTGAAATAGGGTCTTATAAATACTAAAATAAGGCATAAAGATGCAATAAAGTACACCTGCTGGAAAAGTACATAGTATTCTGGTCTTGATTTAAATTAAGCAGTAAAATGTTGCTCAGACTGTTGCAGTAATGAACAAGCAGTGATTATGGTAATTGTTTTAATTGTTAAAATGCCATGGTGAGCACCCCAGCACTTAACACGCAGATCTGACTACTTTGGGAAACTAGACAGTACATCAGTCTTGGATATCACAGACGTAAGAGCTGGAGAAATCAAGTGCAAGTAAATAACAGCGTGAAGTATAACCATATTTTTTTACAAGAGGGTTGATTTCTTCAACCCAGGGATATCTGAAAGCAAACATTCAATAACAAAATCAGAAACCAAACCAAACGCAGAGCTAGTCTTTTCAAAAAAATTGCTTCTTTACAATTTTGTATTGTTGTGGGACTCAACAAAAAAAAAAGACTGACATCTTAATTACTTGGCACTTTTAAAAGGCATTTTCATGTTAAATTTTAACTAACAACAGGTTTGGGTCACACCTGAATCAAGATCTTAATTACGGCAAATCACAGCATCAAGATAGACGATAAGACAGCTGTAGAGGCCAGCATTTCCCATTAGTGATTGTCTTAACGTGGCTTAAGGCACTGTTTCATTAATTTACTGATCCAGCCTCATAACTAAGGCTAAATAACTTCTGTAGGGCAAAACATTAAAACGCAGCTTATTGGAATATTTTTAATTTTGGCCTTGGCATGCAAACTGTTTTGTGCATGTAATATTGATGCACAAGTGCAGACTACTGCATATCAAATCAGCTGCTCACAACTGGCAACCCACTGAAGCTCAGCAGGTGTGAGCCTGGTCAGTACCTGGATGGGAGACCTACTGGGAAAAACTAAGGTTGCCGCTGCAAGAGGTGTTAATGGGACCAGTAGGGGGTGCTCACCCTGCGATCTGTGTGGATCCTAATGCCCACATATAGTGATGGGTGCACTATACTGTAAAAAGACGGATGAAACGTAAAACCAAGGTCCTGACTCTCAGTGGTCATTAAAAATCCCAGCGTGTTTCTCAAAAAGAGTAGGGGTGTTACCCCAGTGTCCTGGCCAAATTTCCCCCTGGCCTTTACCAATCATGGCCTCCTAATAACCCCCATCTCTGAATTGGCTTCATCACTCTGTGAGCGCACTGGTACCCATTACCTGTAAAGTGCTTTGAGTGGAGTGTCCAGAAAAGTGTTTTGAGTGTCTGTATAAGTGTAAAGAACTAATAAATGATTAAAATCTTAGTCCTGCAATGGTCCTTATAGAATGCTGTTTTTTAAAAATATTTTTTCAGTGTCTCCCCCTAACAAATGTATATAATACATTTTCCTCACCCACTGATACTAGTTCTAACAGGCAATACTGATCTTAATAAGAAGGTTTGATGTCAACACTATGGTCACTGGAGTGCAATGCACTGTAGCTCACTCTCCTATCAGCATCTGGGATGAACTTTGTGGAAAAATGCCTTTGTGGAAATTTGAACTAGTTAGTAACGCAGGGCAGAATTGAAAGCATGAAGGACACGAACAATTAAAAGAAAAACAGCAGTGTGCTTTTAGAAGGAAAACACCCCAAACATCACTATTCCATGATGATAGCAAGAGAGAAAATGTATCTTTGTAAGTGACATCCATGAAATATTTATTTTTCCACGAAGCCTTTCAGCTATGGCATCATAGAGATAAAAGTCTTAGCTTTTTTACTGCTCCCTCCCCAGAGTGCTTGGGCAGCGCCTGCAGGAGCAAAGTTGCTGGTCAAATCGAAACGTCAAGCAATTTTAATCTCTAGGTATGTCTTAATCTTATCTCGGGTCCACTACAGGAACTGAAAGGCTTAGCAGTCTTAACCTGGGCATCTGCCTGAAAACTTTTTGAAATTCCAGCTCCGAGGACAAATTAATGAGATTAGTGTCCCCAGGGAGGCCTTCAGTCTTCTGCATTACCTGACTCCAGAGTCAGCTTATTCTAAAAGAAGGCGACAAGCGAATGTCGTTTTTTGCTCTCCTTGTTTGTCGTTTGCGCTGTGTCCTACGGTTCTGCACCGCACGGGACTTCAAACGCAGTATTCCACTTGTTCGAGCCCGGCCCGCGAGGATCCTCAAGGGTCCAAACATCCGACCGCACAAAGGGAAAAGACACTCGTGGCCCAGCCAAGAATGGAACGTGGCACCGGTGAGTTTTGTTTATGAGCCCGCTTGGATCTGCTGATCATTTTCAGAGACAAGAATGACACCTCTCCTCGTGAAAGAATAAACCCCCCCCCCCCAAAAAAAAAACATCTGATGTCAGCCGCAAAAGACGATGAAACACGAGACTGGCACATTCTCTCTTCGCGCAATGATCACAGGAGCGTTTCATCTGATCTATCTTTAACAGGTTAAGCAGTCATGAATCACAGTTTGTTTGAAGTCTTCCTGCCCCAAACAGATATTGTTCTCAGCACTGTTTGTCTTGATTCATGTTACTGTCTGCGGCGCATGCTTTTATCACCGCAGTGATTGCTGGCTCATCCTGTGTGGTAAGGCAGGCACATTCACAGTCTTGAAACGAAGACATGCCAACTCTTTTGTGTATCAGAAGAACACCTTCAAAACAGACATCCTTTAGCTGAAAGCTAGTTATTCCTAGTAAGGATGACAGCAATCTAAAACCTATTTTGGATGCACAGGGTCTAAGGTGGATCCATGACAAGGCACACACAGGGAAAATACTAACCTGTCTTTGGGGGGATGGACAGAGTTCCCTGTAAAAGCCACATGAACCAAGGAAGAACATGCAAGCTCCACAGAGACGGAGCTCCAGGCTTAAAAGAAACCCAGAACTGAAGGTCTGCGAGGCAGAAGCATTAGCCACTACATCACCAAATCACCCATTTCCAACACAAGGACAAAAAAAGGAACATAAAACTGCATTAAATGGAAAACTTTAGCACTAATAGTTCTAACATCTGATCTGGCTATAATTGTAATTAAGCCAATAGGAAAAAATAAAATACACTAAATTCAAATGCTTCTCCTGATTCGCTCAGTGTAGGCACACTAATAATTAGCAGAGATTTTTGACTATTTTTTGGGGAGTTCAGGGTTTTTGACTCATGCCACCCCTGGTATCTCATGGTGAATCAGGTATTGCTGCTTAAATGAAACTCACATTCAGCACAACGTCTGAGCCTTTACCCCAGCAACTCTGGAGACCAATGAAATTATTGGCACTCCGCTTAACCTAATTACTGCATTTATCTTATTAGCTTTAAACCATTTAATACAACTGTTTTGCATGCAACAACCGTAAATATATTTTGCCTGTTAATTAGCTTGTGAAATTGCAGCATGAATGTCAATGCAAGAACTAAAACAAATACCCCCAATTACTTTGCAGTGGAATGAAAAAGATTTACACCAATACAAATACAGTACATGCTCATAAAGGATTACATTATTTAATAGATTCATTCTTTGTAAACATCCCTTTGAATATAGGATCCTCAACCTCCCTCTGTAACTTTTCACTTCATAAAAGCTGCCCAGCAACATCTGCAAGAACATTGCAGACTTTTTGTCAGCAGCGGTGAAATGAGTCAGTTCCACAAAGCAGTGTTATCTTAAGCAAGCGTACTCAAGTTACCCTAATAAAAGAAAACTTAAATGGTGGACACATTAAAAGAAGTAGCAATTATGCTGCCAGGTTATGTTAACTGATACTGTATGTTGGCTCCACAATTTTGAGGCTCAGATCTGTGTGTCACACAACATGTCACTTTAGCATGAAAGTAGAATAATAAGACTAAAACTACAACTAACTGTCGCAACATCAACACAACAGCGATCACTGCAGATCATTTTTTTCCCCATACGGAGAAACGCGTTCTCTCAATAAATGTGAAAATAATTCTTCTGCGACTTTGTAGGAATAAAGAGGGAGATACAAAAAAAACACAGATATAGGAAGAAACAGATATGCAGATGAGACAGGGCTAAATTTCATGGGACATGAAGGGAAAACAAAAAAAACTGGAGCAATGAAAATATTTTAGAAAGACTCTGCAATTGCTTGAAGATAGATTTTACTTATAAGACAGGTCTTATGCAAGAATTGCCTGCTGCATTTCATAAAGCTTTGCTTGAATAATCTATGATTAAACTGCCTCTGCACTTTGAAAAAATACAATGCACCTTCAGAAATGGTACACACAATTGTGTGCCAATGTTAAAAGAGTTCATTAGCAGTGTATACAATTCCCTTCTCATTTTGTACTTAGAAATACCTGCTATATCTGTAGTGCATTTTGTTCTCACCCTTTTAAAATAAAAATGATGTCTTGCTAAAGGCCATTAGACATTCTCTAAAGATTAATTTATC